ACAGTTCAAGTTAAAAATACTTGTAGCGATCAGATGAATCTAAGGCTGAGTTGCACCATCTAACTTTAACCGTAACTATAACTATAACCGGTGTTTTTTTTATGGAGTTTGGCAGATTTTTGACGTTTGTTAAAGTCAAAGTAAGGTTGTGCAGCCCAGCCTAAAAGCCACATGCAGACAATAAATGACTTTTAAGAAATGAGTAATGGCAATGGAGATCGCTATACCCTTGGACCTGACTTAATGAACCGCTATAGGCGCCTGATGGCTCAATCGGACTGATGGCCTAACGAGCCTAGCCAAGAATGGAATCGTATTTCTTATTCGGAAACCCTACTTGATTTAAACTTTCACCCTTATTATAGAATAGTTAAACCCGGGGCAAACACTGGTTTAAAATGACATTTCAGGCTCAGCCCTAACCTTACCATCTATCTTAGCCGTAACAATAATAACCGGTGTTTTTATGGAGTTTGACAGATTTTTGACGTTTTTTGAAGTTAAATTAAGATGGTGCAACCCAGCCTAAATGTCAATTTATACCTGAGTTCAACAAGAGTCTACTTTTTGGAATAAGGGGGTAGATGTCTTAATTGAACTGGGAAAAGACTGTTTAATAGTGCTCACTACTACCAATGCAGGCTTTTGAAGATACAGAATGAAAGTTAAAAAAAACTCATTTATTTATGCATGTAGGCCTTTAAAATGAACTTTTACATTAAAAAGGACTTTTGTTGTCATTTGGTATTCGTTAGTTTCAACTTTGATGTTCGGGGCTTCCCCCAAGGATTTCCTCAACGTCCAATCGTGCGCTGTGCGTCCAAGCTTACACGCGACCTACACAGGACCATCGGTCCATCGAGTGGGGTCTGCCTACGCTACGTCTGACGGTTCGTGGTTGCCTTTCTAAAACTTTTTTCCCCAACCAAAATAATAGGCAAAAAATGTATTAATTGAAAATATTATATCATTGGCTATTTCGCTGCAAATATTTATTTACTTACCATGGCTTCAGTTTGTCAATCTTTGCACAAAATAAACTTGTTCATCTAAAAGGAAAAAGTCCTTTTGATATTTACAGGAAATAATTTTGTCTTATTTTTTCTTCTAATGTTTCAAAGGAACACTACCATCCAGAAATGAATGGGGAAATATATCAGGCGTCTACAATCTAAGCGAATAATGTTGTACTTGCATTTTTTTTATTTTGTAGACAGTTATTGAGGACCTAAAAACGTTTTTCAATTTTACTGAGTTTACACACACATAGCAGAGTCCATATAGGTAGAACCATAACATGAAAAGGTAATTGCTAATAATATTGATGGTTTTGTCAGAGAAATGACACAATTCAAATAATATACACGGGAATTTCGTGAATGGGTTCAACATAATTTGCATGTGAATTGGCTTTCTAACGCTTATACAGTGTGAGTCACGTTAAAGTGTACATATGAAAATAGATGAAACTAGACCTATTTTTATCGACAAAAAAGAGGTCCAAAATTTTTTGAGATTTTTTTTAAATTTTTTATAGAATTTTTTTTCTTCCAATTACTTATTGTAAAGAAAACGTAATAACTTTTTGGTTATTTGAAAAATTTCTCAAAAAAATGCCCCTATAACCGGTGGTTTTTATCACTTTGTATTATTCTCTATCGTATAACCTTCGTAAAACCAAAAATCGCATGTCTCTATTCCTATCACAACGTTTGCAATGATCGTCTGAACTAAGCCTCTCCGGGCGCGCTATTCAACGCTTCGTTAACAACGAAACTGAAAATGGCTCTAGATTTGTTATTTTGATAAAGACAAGTTAGATTTCAGATAAAAATAAAAGATTTCGAAGTAAAATAAGCATTTTAGTTAAATTAAATTTTTCTCTACCTGTAGCGGAGAATAATGTTGTGGCAGGCCTTTGTTCAAACGATCATAGCAAATGTTGTGATAGGGATAGAGACATGCGGTTTTTGGATTTACAAAGATAATACGATAGAGAATAATACAAAGTAATAAAAATCACCTGTTATAGGGGCATTTTTTGGAGAAATTTATCAAATAACCAAAAAACCACGAATTTAAAAGCAGATTAAAAAAATAATAATATCATTTTTATTATTTGTTGGCATTTTTTGTATATTTTATGTATTTTTTCTGTATTGCCTGTTATTTAGCATTATTACTGTTTTTATTTTATCAGGATATACCGCTTAGTTTAAAAGTTATTACGTTTTCTTTACAATAAGTAATTGGAAGAAAAAAAATCTGTAAAAAATTTTAAAAAAATCTCAAAAAAAAATTGACCTCTTTTTTGTCGATAAAAATAGGTCTAATTTCATCTATTTTCATATGTACACTTTAACGTGACTCACACTGTATAATACGCTTCCTCCCAGGCTAGCATGATCGACACGATATTTATTTGTCATCGAAAATTCGATATTAGGATAAAATTACACCATGCCTTCCATTCTGTTAGGTTAGGGCTGACATCTGAAATGACGAAAATTAAAACATTGCTATGTCGCAAACGTTTCTGTACCAAAGCGAGCTATCACAGGCCACTTTTTATCCAACGGATCGCTATAAAAAAGAAAATAAAAGCGAAAAAGTTTAGTCTTTATTCTTCATCTAAAAATCGCTTGTTACAGCATCATTATCTGTGGCAGTTCCCTCGCGTCAAAAGCCGGCAACTCCTTTGAAGCTACGACAGGTATGGGAATAGATACGATACATGATAGATGTTCGAGAATAAATCGCGCAAAGATTCACTGAGTAATGAATATGAAAGAGTTGGTACGATATAGATGAAGTTGAGATAGCTTTTCTTGTCGCTGTGAGCTTATTTGTTACTAAAGCTTGGGGTTCGCGAAACTTTTTTGGACGTGTTATTAAATCGTCATCTATAGCACGTGTAAACCTTTTTGCGTTTCCGTGGAATATATTAAAACCTAGCAAGATATTTTCAATGCGAGAGTGAATAGGCTTACAAGGCAGATAATGTACCATCCTAGACTGCATCTCACTTAACACCAGGTGAGATTGCGGTCAAATACCCGCCCTGTCATGCATAAAAAAACAGTATATTTTTGTTACTTTTACCTCTATCGGAATTCGTTTACGATTCGCTGATTGAATAAGGTTAAACAAAATAATTGCTTGTGCCTAATCCTGTGTTTTGAAGGGCGAAATCAATTTTGAGAAGAATTTTAATCCATGTAACTTACATTTCAACACTTTGAGACTTTTTCACCTTTAAAACCTCTAAACACGACGACATGATTACAAATAAACGAACACAAACGTGATGTTTCGACGATTTCACAGTATATGCTACGAGTATGTAGTGACATGAGTGGAGCGATGCAATAGGGAACCGGGAATGCATGCAAGGCGGTGTAGCGAGCTAGAGCATAATGGTATTAGCTCCAAGCCTTACGCATCCTCGCTCACTCAGCTATATACCGCTCTACAGCGTCGTTACGCATCTTTGCACAGCTCAGAAGCTTTACGCGCGGATCATAAACATTACTATGAGGTCCCACAGTGCGCGTGGACGCACAAGCTGACAAACGAACCAATCACAGAGCTCTATTCAACGCTGTGCGTTCAAAGTCAAAGTCAAAATTTCTTTATTTGTATAGACTATTATGGTGTGTGGTGACGGCAGAGTAGAATACATTTGTCACCAACCCCTACTCTTCCCGCGGGTGTCGTAAGAGGCGACTTAGGGACTACACAACAAACAGAGAATGGGCAGCAGCGCTCTCTGAAAAACATCAATCTTTTAAACTGCGATCTCCAACCCGCCTGCCAAGCGTGGAGATTATGGCAAATCCCTCCACCATAGTGGAGGAGGCTCAAAGTCCAGCAGTGGACTGTAAAGGGCTGTTGATGATGATAGACTATTATATAGTTCCTACAAATCTTCAAATATTTTGCTCTTAAGGAGCCTCTACATGTCTCATAATCTTTTTACCCTACCAGCGCTTCGAGACCAACATTGGCAAGTGCTGAGAAGAAGCGCCGCAACAAATTCAGTTACCACTGTCTGACGATTAATATAAATACATTAATATTATAGTTCGATAGTCTGCTTCACTTAAGCAAGCATCGTTTGTGAATACGGGTGTTAGTGGAAAAGGTCACATTGTTTCACTGTCTATAAACACTATGTAAACTATATTTTTGGTTTTATTTTGATCTTGTAAGGACTTAAAATCCTAACGCATTAAGAGCAGCACTTCTCAAAGCCCCCGATCCGGGGTATAAGCTAGTAAGGTATCAGGCTGACTGCTCTCCGCATTCAGCCCTATCAGTCCGATGAAAGCTGTTAAAACTAAGCCATCAAGTCGATAGAAACACTTAAAATAGTGTAACTTTTTCTTCTATTTAGGTATCTTGTTTTTGAACAATCTTTAGACACGAGCTTTCATAACTTAAGCTACATAATATTACAATATTGCATCTTATAATGTCGTAATAAAACATGCAGTTATGTTATAGCTACAAAGTTATAGGTTACCTACCTACATACGTTTATACAACACAAAAAGGGCGTAATTGAATCGCTTATAGAAAACAACAGCCGGGTCATTTTTTGCAAAATTTATTGGCAAATTTGAATAATAACAAATGGAGGCCCTTATGATAAATTGAGGAATGATGTGGAAACCGGACAAAGCGGACACGTCCGAGAAAATTGTAGAAAGCGAGAAAGAGCGATAAATATAATGGGAATCCGTGATATGCTTCAAATGACTATAAATGCCGTTCGAACACACAATAGTCGTTTAAATCCTTTCAAATGAATCTTTGCCGGACCTCCATTGTGGTTCCGCATTAAGTACACAGATTAAAAAAACGACGCGTGAAAAAGCGCGCCATGTAGCAGTTCGCAGAATTTTCCTTTGCCCTTATTTTCAGGAGAATCCGCGCTCCAATCTGAAGCACAGAGCAGGTGCTTCCCTCAGTACGATTCGGGCTTGTGGGGAGGGAACACGCGTCCCGCTCCCGTTTTGGCGGCCGATTCCAATTTCGAACTAAAATTTGAATTTCAGAACACGTAATTGTTTTCGTTGAGGACGTTAAATAATAATAAAGTCAACACTCGATACCGTTATTTAATTTTTGGAGCAAATAGCGCGTTGATTTTAAATGAAGTTGTCAGGTGTTTTGTGAATTTTCTAGTGTTTTTTGTGTACTTTTATTTGAACGAAAATGTTAGGATTTACCTTTTCATCGCTGATGCTGATGCTATTTGGGGGTGAGTTTTTAATTTTCAACTTTATGCCGTTTTGTTCAAATATACTTTTTACGCCTCGTAATATGATTGAATATTGATATCCTAATCTTCGTAAAGAAATGAAAATGTGTCTAGATGTAACCGTTATTATTAAATTCGTGTCGCGTACTCGTAAATACGAAAATTTCTTTTAGAATTCAAGGAAATTTTGTTCATCTTCGTTACCGTATATTATACCGGACTCTATTGAGCAAATATTTATTAGATTTCCATTAATAAGTTCCTTCATTTTTCTTCCAAAGGTAATCTTATTTTGTGTACGTTTTTAAATATAACTGTATTATGTGCCAGAAAATGTTTTGCTGAATTATTCCGATATTTTTTTATGATCAGAAAGTACTTAATAAAAAAAGGTTAAGAAAGGTAGGGCATGGACTCATAATACGTAATGTTGTTGTTATTCAGGTAAAAAATTACGTCGATTTCTAATAAAAACCAATGTAGGTAGTCTCTTTTCATTCCCATAGTCAATTACTGGTCTATTTGACGGTATTCTTACGATGGTTTAGGTATTGATTAGAACCTATACTGTTTTCATATCATTCTTAAAAGCGTCGGCCGTTTGGTGTAGTGGTTCATAACGGACTACTATGCCAAAGGTCGCGGGTTCGATTCCCGCACAGTACAAACATTTAATTTTGTGTGTATTAGACTGAGTGTTTTCTATCTATAATATGTATGTACTCGTATTTACAAAAAAAGTACATAAGTATGTTTATATCCGTTGTATAGTACCCATAGTACAAACTTTGCTTAGTTTGGGACTAGATAGACGCAGTGTAAAATGTCCAATGTCCATATTTAAATCAAAGTCAACATTAAACTCGTATTATGTGTTTGCTTATACAAACACATCTTACCAGCATCATATTCCGAAACTCGATGCTCGATTCGAATTCAAGCCCGTAGTTGGTTGTATTTCAATATTTATGAGTCTATGATTGAATTTGATACGAATCTTGAGATGAGACCATTCGGCACCTTACACCCTTAGGCTGAGTTGCACCATCATACTTTAACAGTAACTATAACCACCGGTATTTTTTGTATGGAGTTTGACAAATTTTTGACGTTTGTTTCAGTTAAAGATAGTACAACCCAGACTTAGTTAAAGCTTAGTTTCAAAATAGACTTTTTATTCATATTATGAAAGTCTCACTCAAGAACCTATAAAGAATTAATAGAATTTATAACGGATTTAGATCAAACACAGGTACAAATATATCTTAAGTGTAGATTAGGTGTAATCCCTAAATGTTTTTACAAGTCTTTACGCAATCCAAAGCCTTGAAAACATTAAATTAGTTTACGCAACTAAGAAAATAAAGGCTTTTTAATTAAGTCCTTGGAAAATGTCTTTTCAGTGACCTTTTTAGACAACAATATTGAAACGGAAGAGACGATTGGAAGCAAAGTCGGAAAAATCCGGAACTTTTGTTTCAACGCCCATTCAATGAGTATTATAGGAAATTAAACTTTGTGATGGCTTAGTGATTAAAAATTGAGATTCCGTTTCTTCGTTCTTCATTTTTAATTGCCAATCGACGTTTTGGGTGAGAAAAAACGAAACTGGATTCTTGGAAAAAAAGTGGAGGCTGGATTACAAGTTAGATTGAAACTTGGCTACCGTTAAATAAATAAATCTTGAACGGTAAGGGGAAAAGAGATTAAATTTTGTGTGTGAAAACTATAATTTTGTCATTCTTGTCTCATCCTTGCCTTAATAAGGATCCATAATTAATTAATAATGGTTTTATTGAGAAGTACGAGTAGTGAGTGTTTCAGAATACCTATTTAAGCTGTACGATATAGCAAATATGGTAGCTTATCATCAAATCACTTAGACTTTTTGCAACAGACTGATATTTGAGTGAAGCTGCGGTATAAGCTGGTACATGAAAAGAGCTATTGTGCAGCATAAAAAAGGAACAGTTTACTATCCCATTTCAGCCGTACTAGTCATTCGCTCACTAGTTCGTTTGCAGTAAAAGCTACGAAAAAAACATTTTACACAAATGTACCTAATGGACGACATAGAGCTATGTAGTGAGGGGACTTAGTTCTACATATAGTATAGGGGCTTTTTTAAAACAAACATAATATGATTCTGATTTGTTGGCGACTGTACACTTTCGAAACCAGAGCATGTTAAACGTCAGAAACATTCTTCCAAACAATATAAGTTTGAAGGTACAAAATTTACACAAACAAATTACCACAACATCTGCCTAACTGCTTTAGGCAAATGGAAAACTGACGTGTAATTGAATTTACAACTAAATTAGTGACAGGACAAGCCAATTTGGTCCTTCTGTTTTTAATTCCACGGCACCCACTCTGGCTAATTTCCTTTAGTCGCTTAGGTATAATGGTACCTAAAGGTAATGTCATTAAGGTGAAGATTGTGGTTTTTCTATTTAATTTTGCAGAGTCAACGTGTTTTACGTTCAAAGAAAATAATTCCTTTTATCGACTTATCCTATTAACAATAATTATTATTTCTATTTAGATTCACCTCTACTTTGGCTTTGCTCTGTTCGTCTAACAGTAAATACTTAATTATTGGATGGCCTGTGCCTTTTAGCCGAGTGATCGCGTACTGAGCTACAATCCGAGCTGCGGTCCAGGGTCGAATCTCGTCAGAGGCTAATGGTGAGATGAGCATGACTTATGCTCATGGCCATGGTCAAAAATGTTGTCCCTTATAATGTCAGCCTTTCCTGCCAGGTAATTGGTGTTATACAAATAGCCCTGTATTTTAAAATTATAAACTGTCCAATATAGTAACATACTCGTACATCGTCAACTTTGAGCTACAAAAAGAGTTGGTTCCTATACAAACCGGCTTCTTGCGTCCGACTGACATTCTACTCGGAACTTAACTGCTGATGCACACAAAGCTGAGATATTGTACCAAAGACAAAACTTGGCTTACTTCTCAAAATAGTTTCCCGGGTGCGATTGTAACTAGCAACTTTATTATTAAAGGAGTAACATTTAAATCATTGTAAAGCTTAAAATATAAACATTGAGATGTCCATCATAGTCAATCGTTGATTTACAGGAAGCATGTTTAAACATCTATTTGTTGGTTTTCTTATTTTCTTCGTCCTATAAGTACCTACTTATATACGAGTAAACAACACAGCGAGAAAAATATAAGTATAGAAAATCTGAACATGAGGAAGTACGTGAATATTCTAGCATTACATTCGAGTATTAAACTAAAAGCTTATTCTTCCTTTCAAAGCTCCTGAAAGCTTTTTAATACTTACGTATTTTATGCGAGTATTCCACAGAACTAAACAAAACCTAGATTTTACCGACTAGCATTTACGACGTAATATTACTATATGGAAATTGTTGGGTAATAATATGCTAAGTCAAAGGGGTCTCCTGCCAACAATATTTTATTAATTTTATTCCAGTATCAAGGAAGTTTTATTATTTCTCACAAACTTTTGCCCACGGCTTCGACTGCGTCAAATTCAGTTTGTGACAAAGATCAACATAATTGACACTTACCGTTTAATAACATGGTAAATTAACTCAATATTAATATAAATTAGTAGTAGGTAATTAGATTAGTTTTTTTTGCGTGAAGGAGTTACAAACATTCATCTTTCCATTGTCACAAACTTTTATATTTATAATAGTAGTAGGATATGAGGGAATATTCCAAGTCTACGTATTATTTTATTATTATTAATTTATGTCTACAGATTCTTGATCCGTAATCTTGTTTGTTTATATTTTTTACAAGCTTTATATTGACTTTGCTTGTTTGTTAGTGTGGGACAAATCTTGCAACTGAATTTAAGACCAGTTCTCCTCAACCGATTGAGGTGAAATTTTTTGATTATGTATATCCGCATTGAGCTCATTTTCTGAGCTATATTTCACTATATCGTTACTTAAATCTACATATTTATATTTCTAAATATGTGTTTTTTTTCAATAGTTGTATTTGAAACATACGAGTTATACATATATAGTTGTACAAGCTGTTATATTAATAAATTCACTTTAAACAGAACTATCGCTGTAAAATTTTCTATAATGAACTCTTTTTTGGAACGCATTCCACTATACTCTAAAATTCTCATACATTTCAACAAATAATGCATAAATCCATCAACACGTAGTAATCCAATTAAAGCAAAGCGAAAATAATCAACTGAAATTTTAATTTAATTACCATAAGAGGATTTCAGTCACTGAAATGATATAATTGCTCCCCGGAGGGACAGCATTTTAAAACGTCCTGTCACGTTTTTGTTACAGCATCGGAAATTATTAAAGTGATTACGTTTCAGAGATAAAAAAAACTGTGAGCAAATTCGTTATTTGATTTATATTTTATAAAGAAGGAAGAAGCTTTAAATAATCAAATTCGTTTTTTTTATGTTAAGATAACTTCGACCGGTAAATTGAAGAAGCTTAATTTAAACGGACTCTATTTTCATGAACAGCGATTTTGTTTATGCTGTAGTCTTCATTTGGGCAAAGAAAAAAATGAGATTATTAGGATTTTATTCATTGAACATTTTCTGACCCAAAACTATTATTTTGATAGTAACAAAACTCCATAACGTTTAGTAACATCATAACAATACTAGACGTGGTCGCTCCAAGCAAACTCGGCGGCGCACTGTGGCAGACGAGGCGAAGAAGTTCGGCAAGACTTGGAGCGAGATCAAACGCGAAGCTCAAGACCGAACGCGATGGAGGACTGTTGTGGCGCCCTCTGCCCCATCTAGGGGAGACATGACCTTAAGTCATAAAAATACTACAATCATAGCTATTCTCTAAAAAATGGTACACATACAATTTTATTTCCTACATACGTAATCATGATCGGGAATCACAATAAATCTCGTGTTACAATACGAATACTATCTAATCCGAAGTCGACTCGATTTATACGAAGTAGGAAGTAATGGAAATTTCCAATATTAGCT